AACCATGGGCTCGCTTAGTTACGAAAGAATGTTACTTAGCTCTCCCTTTTGCTCGTTATAAACGAGTGAGAATAATCCAGTTTAACTCGTTTTACGTTTTTGAGCAATGATTTGGCTCGCTTTTTGAGGGACTGAGAACATCGTCATGGCCACTCAAACATGAGTGGTTTACAGCTCAATTACGAGTGAAAGTCCATTCACTCGTTCGAACGAGATGCAGATTCGCTCCTTTACATACAGAGAGTATGTTAACTGTCATTATACATGTAATTTTTACAATATATGTTTATTATTTTCTTTCTTCACCTTCTAAAACTCCTAAACTTTCTTTGAAAATTCATCTTGCCCCATGTAATGATATTTGTGTTAGTAGAATGTTGACAAGTCTCATGTTACATGAATTCTTCCACACTGAGTTTATGGTGTAAATAGATGAAAAAGAAATGAAGCTTTTCAAGTAATCTACAAAAATCAAAACAGCTAGATTATAAAACACAATATGAAACCTGAAATTTCTTTCGGGATGTACACGTACATGTATATAAACTCAGAGTGGAAGAATGCAGTAACATGAGACTTGTCAATGTACATTTGTAAATTACCATTGGGTTCAATACAAAATTTAAATTTGGAATTGACGAAGGAAAAGTACCCCCATACAGAAAATATTATTTGTATGCCTCTGCCACCGAAGGTGGTGCCGGAGGCATCATGTTTTCGGGTTGTCCGTCCTACATGTACGTCCGTCCGTCATGCTTTCTCGTTATCGCGATATCTCAAGAACAACCAGAGGTATGAACTTCAAACTTGATGATAGTATGTATCACCATAGGAAGACGATCTGATTAGATTATGGAGCAACTAGGTCAAAGGTCACAGAGGTCGTCTTATGAAATTCCAGGTGTTAGCCTCGTTATCACGATATCTCAAGAACTTATTGAGATATGAACTTCAAACTTGATGATAGTATATACCACCATAGGAAGACGATCTGATTAGATTTTGGAGTAACTAGGTCAAAGGTCACAGAGGTCGACTTATGAAATTCCAGGTGTTAGCCTCGTTATCGCGATATCTCAAGAACTACATGTAATTGAGATATGAACTTCAAACTTGATAGTATATACCACCATAGGAAGACAATCTGATTAGATTTTGGAGTAACTATGTTCAAGTTCAAAGGTCACAGAGGTTAATTTCTGAAATCCTAGATATTAGCCTTGTCATCGCGATATCTCAAAAATCACTGGAGTTACAAGGCTCAAACTTGGTGATAGTGTGAATTACCATAGGAAGATGATCGGATTTGATATTGGGGTCAAAGGTCACAAAGGTCAATTTCAGAAATTATAGGTTTTAGCCTTGCTATTGCGATATCTCGAGAACAACTAGAGATATAGGGTGGAAACTTGGTGATAGTATGTCTCATTGTAATAATTTCATCGATTTCCTATATTGCCTTTAGGGTAGCTTAGGGCGGAGGCATATAGGAGACGCAGTCGTATTTGTCTTGTTTCCTGTGATATGAATAATTATACACATTTTGTTTAAAGATTATCAAATGAGGAAAGTCAAAAAGCATCAAAGCAGAACATTGTAGTTTGGTAAATTTATTTCCATCTACATGCATGTATCTCGCTGACATAGGAGAATGGCCTGCCCACAAAATTAGGGTGGAGCTTGAAAATGAAACTCGCCCCCATTTATTTCTCTGTTTTTATAACTTTGCACCAATAATACTGGATATTATGTTATACATGTAGATGTTACTTCAGCACTCAGGCCATTTTTTTCTTCTCTAACTAGTGAAAATGTGATGGAGAAAAGTAATTATTACGATTGTTGAATTTGAGTGTACAAATGTGCAATTTTGCAACATTTGCGTGCAAAGGGTTTATAGAGTAAAACTAAACTTATGCAAAACAGTGAAAATTTCATTAAAGGTAGGGTGTCCCTTTTGCAGACCTCCCCAAATCCAGCAAAACCTTACATGAACCTCAGGCTAGTTATGTTGGACATGTCTGTGAAATTTGAAAGCTAACAGTCATCTAAGATTCAAATAATGCACAAAATACTAACTACTTTGTAGCCTGTGTGTCAGGCTCAGTTTACTTTTTTTGGCAATCTCCGTATTATGGTCTATGATTACTAATCTACACAAGAGCTGATGTATAAAATGTGTCGGCGCTAGTGCACTTTCGCACCGGGCGCCTAATTTAATGATATAACATCAAAAGTAAACCACAAAGTAATCAAAAACCTGTTTCAGTGTCTCTCTGAGGCTGATGTCCCGTCCTTTCCTCAAAATTGTGAATTTTACGTAAAATTCGCCGCCGTACACTGCACTCACTGTACTGGCACTTTGGCATTCACTTCTCGCTCGCACAGATCTGTGCGAGCGAGAAGTGAATGCCGAAGCGCCAGCGCCCGTACAGTGAGTGCAGTGTACGGCGGTGAATTTTTACGGAAAATTCATGATTTTGAGGAAAGGACGGGACAACAGCCTCAGAGAGACACTGAGGTGGGTTCTTGATTAGTACTTTGTGGTTTTATTTGGATTTTAGGCACCCGGTGCGAAAGTGCACTAGCGCCAATGTGTCATGTAGCAAGAATGAATATGTACATGATCGTAATTTGTGACAAAATGTCATTACATCACATACCTGGAGTACACACATGCAGTACAAGGGTCTGCAGCAACTAGACTACATGTATAATAAATGTGATCACGAAATAAATCAATTCAAAATCTAATGGTCAATATAATTCCACCAAAAGTCAGTTTCCAGTTCCTATACTTTGAGGGAGGTTCTCAACTGATGATCTCGTTAACGCGATATCTGGAGAACCCTTTGATGGATTTTGATCATATTTGTCCCAGATGTACATCATGAGATGTAAATGAACTGATTAGATTTTGGATGAAATCCGCCTAAGGTCAAAGGTCAAAGATCAATGAACTTTGCCTGAAAAGTCTCGTTAACGCGATATCTGGAGAACCCTTTGACGGATTTTGATCATATTTGTCCCAGATGTACACTATGAGATGTAGATGAACTGATTAGATTTTGGATGAAATCTGCCTAGGGTCAAAGGTCAAAGGTCAATGAACTTGGCCTGAAAAGTCTCGTTATCGCAATATCTCATTAACTTATGGCCGGATTTCGATCATACTTGGCCCAAGTGTGCACCATGAGGTGTAGTTGAACTGACTAGATTTTGGGTGAAATCTGCCCAAGGTCGAGGGTCAAAGGTCAATGAAATTTGTGTGAAAAATCTTTTTATCACGATATCTCGAGAACCCCTGGGCAGATTTTGATCATACTTAATCCAAATGTACACTACGAGATGCAGATAATTCATTTTGGGTGAAATCCGCTTAAGGTCAAAGGTCAAAGATCAAGGTCAAACTCCGAAATTTCACTGTTTCTGCCCTAACTCAAGAAGTATTGGACAGAATTCCATCAAACTTAATTTTGGGTCAAAGGTAAAGGTAAAATGGTAAATTTAACAGTTTACGCCCTAACTCAAGGTACATGTATAAGATAAGCAAATGTTACTATAAATATGAAGGATTATGGCAATACTTAAGTATTTGTGCGGGAGGGCGGAGGCATACCCGTCGACTGCGCGCAGTCAAATTCATCTAGTTTATAATATGAATTTTGCAATATTTCATTTATAGATGTACATGTACACAAAGAATTGCTCCCTTGTATCAGAATAAATTACAGTAAGGATGACTTTCCACATTCCATGAGGAGCCAAACCATGTTTGACATTTGAAATATTTTAGATTTCCATATGATAAAATACAAAAGAAAAAGCGGGCTTGTGACATCATCACTTTTGGACACAGCCTCATTCATTGTTTTTTGAAATAATACAAATTTCAAATTGCTGTAACTTTGTTATTTTCCATCTGATTTCAATGAAATTTGTACTGTTATGCTTGATTGATTTCACACTATCAAATCATCTTTGATCTTTGATCTCGGGGTGGAGTACATGCAAGTAGGAAAGATAGGAAAGACACATTACAGTAATCTCCTTGTTTTGTTTTGTTTGCCTTCGCTATCCTAGACAAGAATGTCTCGACGACTGAGAGAGCCTGCAGATACCAACCGCCCAGAAGATTACACAGAAAAGGACAGAAAGGGGTTTTGTGTCAAAATTCTACCAGGAAAGGGTAAGGTATCCAGTGCAGATATAAGTGATTTCGAAAGGCTCCTTTTTTCATGAATTAACATCCTTCAAGATTATTTTAAGTGTCCAATGTGTCCAATATCAGGATAAGTAGTCTGAATTGTATTTTCTTTTTGTTGAATAATTTGTACCTTTTAATAGTGATTATGCATTACTTTGGTGGCCCCTTTTTGTAAGCTTTGCTTTTTCCAGGGTCTCCGAACCTTCACTTTAATTTTGATCATGTGTCTGTCAGTGTAAATTTTCTATTTTGTTTTGTATATTTTTTGATGGTTAGATAATGAAATGAATTGATAGGAGGCATATACAAATGTAGGAGGGATAATGATCTGATTAGTTTTGGGGGTATTAAGGTCAAAGGTGACAGAGGTCTACGTTCTCGCGATAACTAAAGAACCGTTTGACGGATCAATTTCAATCTTGGCTCATATAGGCTTATGGAAGTGATGATGATCTGATTAGATGATTTAAGTTTTTGAAAATTTTAGTAGTTAAATGTGTAATATATTTTAGATCTGGCAATAGCAGAGGCATACATTTTAACTGCGCTCAGTCGAGAATCCATGTAGTTTGGCTTTGTAATACCATCTTCAAAAACAGTGCATTATTTATTGTTATCTCTTGTACTCTGCAGGTAGAGCTGTTTTCACTACAAAAAACTTTCATAGTGGGGAGTTTTTACTCCATTACCATGGGGAATTAATAGATAAAGCAGAGGCAGAAGAAAGAGAAAGATTTGAAGAAACCGGATTCAGATATTTCTTCAAGTACAGAGGGAAGAATCTGTGGTAAGTGTTTTAAAGGTATTGCACCGTGTTGGTAAAAGTCGAAGAGGTAAAATTAGATTTCCTTAATTTTATAGTTTTTGGATACACTTATGAGGGTAGAACGCACCCCCGCCAAAAAAAAATCGCTCTGAAATGCCTGTATTTTCGAGAAATCGCGTGTTTAGTGTTGATTTTGGTTATTTATCTGGTACTCGATAAATACGGCTAATTCGCTTGATGTTGAATATCTCATGGATAAAATTGTTTCTGATCTTACTGTTATAATGTAATGATGAGGCTCAGACAGTCATTTGTAAGCTTGGTAGTAGCAACTATTTAAAGGCAGTCACGCAGGGGATTTCCTGATTAATTTCAGCCGCAGATGGCGACACACAAGTACGGTCACGAAGCTGTTTACCGAGCGGAATTGTACGTGCGCGGGTGTCCAGTTTCTGTACGTGCGTATGCGCACCATTCTCAGTCATATCATGTCACTGCACTGTCAGTGTCAGTATCAGACCTGCAAAACAGTCTGTCTGATCTGTCCTGACACTCTAAATTTGCTCAAGTCAAATTTTCAGTTTCAAAATCAAAGTGTCCAGGGCTGTCAGTATCACTGCAGCGAGTGTCAGCAGGTCAGTGTCCCTGTCAGTGTCACTGCAGCGAGTGTCAGCAGGTCAGTGTCCCTGTCAGTGTCACTGCAGCGAGTGTCAGCAGGTCGAGTGTCACTGCATTGCAAAAATACATCAAAGACCAAGCTTTGTGCGCAAGATAGCAAATATAATTCAAACTTAACGTTCTAATAAAGCCTCTAGAGACGATCGGATATATAATAAAACAATTACCGGTGACGAGATCTCGATAAAGACAAACACCAAAATTTACACCGCACATGAAAGTAGACGTGCAATCGCGATCGCAGGTTGCAGCATACAGCATGCAGCAGTAATTTTCGGTCTTGTTTACGTTTGGTAGTATAAAGCGCGGCCGAGTACAACAGCTGTTCAATTCAGTAGTATACTATAACTAGACCCTCTATAAGAATCCAGATTATAAATCTACTAACTAATTTATAGCTTATACAGTATATTATTAGAATGTGAAAAAAAATAACTGTGCGGTAACAATGTAGTATATTTTCTTTGCTTTTTTAAGATGCAATTGACAACACAAGAAACATACACAGATTGCGATATTGCGCAATGTGCACGTTTCTTTCGTGCGTACGTAATGTGAGCTGATCGCTGAGACAGCTCGAGCGGGGATAGCGAGCTGGCGATTCCTATGCACACGGTTTGATTTCTATATCGTGCGTCTGTGTGTGTGCGTCGCTCGGAAGAGTTCGGACGGCCATGTTTGAAATTGGGTGCTGCGGGAAAGACGACCACTTTGGTGTTCGCTTGCCCCTCGAGCACGCGTAGTTTGCATTAGGCGAAACGGTTTCACAAGGGAGTTGGACGGCGTCAGCGTACATGACATTTCTCGTGGCCAATGAAATCGCTCGCCACGCGTGTAAGTCTTTAATATGTGGTTCCATGTTGAAAGAACCAAACAACACACTCCCTGTGTCCTGACCTGGGTATGACTCATAGGTCATGACACAATAACATAAACATTGGCTAGTCTTTGTTCAGGCTTATCATTACAAAGACTTTACAAACAGATATCACGACACTTTCACAGGTAAGGTTCTATTCATGTTGATACATCACAAAATAAAGGAAAGTTGGGAAATTTTCAAAGGACAACACTGTTTTTAAAGGGAAAAACAAATTTGTCTGGCCGGACAGATATCGCCGACTGTAGTTGTCCTTTTCTAGCTTCCAATGCTATTTGAAGAAAATTAGGAATCAATTTGGTCTTAGGTCATCTAGATGGACCAAGGAAAACATTTCCACCAAATCCATGACCTTGACCAACACTGTGTATTACCTTTAAGAATTTAATTTCTGTCCAAATTAAGAAATATGATTATATTAGTTATAAAGAAGCATCAAATGCTGGCATGTTGATTGATCTCCGATGAATTAAATCCAGATTTGTGGTTTATGATGTTCTCTATGATGGATGTCAACCACACCAACTTTGGCAGCAAGAAAAAACAAGTATGAAATGGGTGTGCAATTATCATAGATGTCCTCTAACCCTTTAAAAAGTCAACAGATCCCAACTAACCCAGGAAGGGGGATAGGTAGAAATAGTTGAGAGGTTGTCTTTAAAGATGAGTAATCTCTCACCTAAACACTGAATAATATACTATATATAAAATAATAGATACATGTAGCTCAAATGTATGGTTCTCTAAACAAGAATGAATTAGATTACATTTTTCTTTAAAAACTTTTTTTTTATAAACAGAACAGGGTTCTTAATTATGGGTCAGGGAATTTGAAATACTTTTTCAAACAGCAAAATGTCAATGAAAGTCATGGAATTCATTAATACTTCTGGAAAGTTGGGGGAAAATCATTTGTTCAAGATATTATTTAATATTCTAACCTTATATTTATTTGTATAATTAACAGAGGGAATTAAAAAAAAAAATGTATGCTTTCATGTCAGATCAGTTTGTATCATATTCCACAATTACACTTCCCTGACCAGCCCTTCTATTACATGTATTTTATTATTTTGTGTACTTGTAGTACTGATACTAGCAAGCTCCCCTCACAACTAAGTATAAGTGTGTATGACTGACGACATACATGTACATGTACACTCTAGGCCTGGGAATGAATACCAAATTTGCTATTCAAATATTTATGGAAAAAGTATTTGAATAGTCCAAATATTTGTGGTATGAGCCCAAAGTGCAACACCCAGTGAAGTGGTCGAAGGTTGGCCATGACCGATATGCCCCCACAGACTCATGTCGAGCTGCAAAATGCAAGACAAATATTATATCACTATGTGGCTCTTTTGTCTGATTTATTTTCTGTGATATATTACTTTTGATGTTTTTATTTTTTTTTAATAACTATTAACATATATTCATATATGAAATCACTACGGTATTCATTGTTAAACAAATATATTTGAATAGTAGAAATTGTGGTATTTGATTTCTGATTAGTACTATAGTGAGCTATTTAAATAATTCAAATATTCAAATATTCCCAGGCCTAATACACTCTAGTTCTGAGGGGAGCTAGCTACATGCAGTATTGCATTGATACACATGAAATGGTCATAGAAATTTGGAGTTTGCTGCTTGGGAAAGTCATGAAAATTTAGGGCATTTGAAAATATGTAAGTGGAAGAATAATCCTCACAGAAATTTAAGGATCCAATCTAATCCAATCCAAGTATTATAGAGTGCCAATATCTAGTTGTTTTCTAATCAAGTAATTATCTCCGATCTTTCTAACATTATTTGAAATACAATATATGGATTCAAAATTCTTTCATTTGTAATTTTACAGTGTTGATGCGACAATGGAGCCATGCAAGAAGGAGCCTGTGTTGGCACGACTCGTGAACCATGCAACAGGTCAAAAGGCCAACTGTAGGATGAAAGTGATTGAAATTACGGGGAAACCCGCACTATGTCTGTTCGCCACAAAAGACATGAAGAGCAATATGGAATTATTGTATGACTACTCGCTGCCAAAAGATTTCAAGTTCCCAGAACCCTATTATTCGGATCTAATAAAGCAAGCGAGCACATGGGGAAATGCATGTAAGGAGAAGATGCCTCAGGAAGTAAACACAGTAAACACAGAAGACCAAGGGATGCCTGAACAAGTCAACACAGCGGACCAAGGGATGCCTGAACAAGTTAACACAGAGAACCAAGGGATGCCTGAACAAGTCAACACAGCGGACCAAGGGATGCCTGAACAAGTCAACACAGAGAACCAAGGGATGCCTGAACAAGTCAACACAGCGGACCAAGGGATGCCTGAACAAGTCAACACAGCGGACCAAGGGATGCCTGAACAAGTCAACACAGAGAACCAAGGGATGCCTGAACAAGTCAACACAGAGAACCAAGGGATGCCTGAACAAGTCAACACAGCGGACCAAGGGATGCCTGAACAAGTTAACACAGAGAACCAAGCGATGCCTGAACAAGTCAACACAGAGAACCAAGGGATGCCTGAACAAGTCAACACAGAGAACCAAGCGATGCCTGAACAAGTCAACACAGCGGACCAAGGGATGCCTGAACAAGTCAACACAGAGAACCAAGCGATGCCTGAACAAGTCAACACAGCGGACCAAGGGATGCCTGAACAAGTCAACACAGAGAACCAAGGGATGCCTGAACAAGTTAACACAGCGGACCAAGGGATGCCTGAACAAGTCAACACAGAGAACCAAGGGATGCCTGAACAAGTTAACACAGAGAACCAAGGGATGCCTGAACAAGTTAACACAGAGAACCAAGGGATGCCTGAACAAGTCAACACAGCGGACCAAGGGATGCCTGAACAAGTCAACACAGAGAACCAAGGGATGCCTGAACAAGTCAACACAGCGGACCAAGGGATGCCTGAACAAGTCAACACAGCGGACCAAGGGATGCCTGAACAAGTTAACACAGAGAACCAAGGGATGCCTGAACAAGTCAACACAGAGAACCAAGGGATGCCTGAACAAGTCAACACAGCGGACCAAGGGATGCCTGAACAAGTTAACACAGAGAACCAAGCGATGCCTGAACAAGTCAACACAGAGAACCAAGGGATGCCTGAACAAGTCAACACAGAGAACCAAGGGATGCCTGAACAAGTCAACACAGAGAACCAAGGGATGCCTGAACAAGTCAACACAGCAGACCAAGGGATGCCTGAACAAGTCAACACAGATAACCAAGGGATGCCTGAACTAGTCAACACAGAGAACCAAGGGATGCCTGAACAAGTCAACACAGAGAACCAAGGGATGCCTGAACTAGTCAACACAGAGAACCAAGCGATGCCTGAACAAGTCAACACAGAGAACCAAGGGATGCCTGAACAAGTCAACACAGATAACCAAGGGATGCCTGAACAAGTTAACACAGAGAACCAAGGGATGCCTGAACAAGTTAACGCAGAGGAACCAGAGGTGCCTCAAGGAATATATACACAGGAACAAGAGATGTCTCAGCAAGTATACACAGAGGGCAGCTCACCTTACACATATGACCAATCAGATGATGATTCAGACTATGTTCCAGATTCCTATTCAGAATCTGAATCTGAAACTGATGATTTTCCTGCAGATGTAGTCTGTAATAAGATTGGTAAGAGAAAGATCCAGTCCCATGAAAGAGCTTTAAAATCAAAGAGACCAGGCATTGAAATTTCCAATTGGTCTAAAGCAGGCATTGCATGTAAAGAGAGGATGCCTCAGCAAGTAATCATACAGGACCGAGAGATGCCTGAACAAGTAAACACAGCGGAACAAGAGATGCCTGAGCAAGTAAACACAGAGGACCAAGGGATTCCTGAACAAGTAAACACAGCGGAACAAGAGATGCCTGAACAAGTAAACACACAGGACCAAGAGATGCATGAACAAGTAAACACACAGGACCAAGAGATGCGTGAACAAGTAAACACACAGGACCAAGAGATACCTACATGTAGGCCAGTAAACATACCAGGTCAAGGTTCTCTTGCATGTGGTACATACAAGAAACCTTACCGTTATTGCATATTCTGCAAAAGAATGTGGTCAAAGCTACGGAATCACATAGAGAAAAAGCACAAAGATCACAAGAGAGTTTGCCAGGCCTTGAAAATGAGAAAGAAGGAAAGGGATTTAGTATTTGATGCATTCAGAAAAGAGGGCATATTGGAACTGAACAAGATAAGATTGAGGAAAAATCCAGATAATCCAGTGCTTGAGAGAGAAAGGAGGAATGATTCAAAGACAAAGGGTAAACTGGTCATTTGTCATCTGTGCAAAGCATTCATAGAAAAACGTTACATATCAAGACATGAAAAAAAACATGCCCAAACCTCCGATGCAGCTTGTGAAGTAACTCCTATCCCTGCTGAGATGATGTCTGTGGTAGATGAAGCTAATGGAGGGGAATTCATGAAGGAAATAATATCCAAATTTAGAGAGGGTGAGGATAGAGATGTTTATGACATATGCACAAAAGATCCTATCCTACTTGAAGTGGGAAAAAAGATGTTCAACAAACAGAGAAGGAAGGTAGACAAAAAGAGTGAAGTAAAAAAATCAGTGATGGCTGATATGCGAAGATTGGCCAATCTTCATTCAAAAATGAACATGGCAGAACAAGCCATTGGGAGTCTCCCAGACAAAAGTGGGAATATCTGTGATTTGTTCAAGAGGAAAAATTTCCGTCACCTGGAAGAGGCAATTGATGCTTATACGAAGGTGGAGAGTTCGGAGGGTGTAGGTGTGAAGGCAGGCCTAAAACTTGCTCTTTATTACCTGCTCAAACGAACCAGTAAAATACTGAGAGGGATGTTTCTTATTGATGACGAGGATGATAAGGCCAACGATATCGCAAAGTGGGTGACAGTGTTCGAAACGAGTAAAGATATGATTTTTGGTGATGCTGAGTACAGTTTGAGCAAGACTCGCGAAGAGAAGCTTCGGCGACCGGAACAACAGCCAGAGGAAGAAGACCTACGGAAAGTTAGAGACTACACAGTGAAGAAGATAAATGAGCTTGGTGTCAGAGAGAATATTGATGTTCATGAGTTTATAGAACTAAGGAATTGTGTTGTAAGTCGTTTAACACTCTTCAATGCTAGGCGGGGTGGTGAGCCCAGTCGTCTCACTGTAAAAGCATGGGAAGACGCAGATCGTGGAGTCTGGTTGGATCGAAGACATCTTGACGAGCTTGATGCACTGGAGAAGACCTTAATTGATTCCTTGAAAATAGGCTACCAGACAGGGAAGGGTAATCATCATCTGGTGCCAATCCTATTCCCCCAAGATTGTGTTGTAGGTCTCAAAAAACTTGCAGACAAGGATGTTAGAAGGGCATGTGGCATTGCTGAGAGCAATAAGTACCTTTTTCCAAGCATAAGCAAATCCGCTGAGCATGTTTCGGGCTGGCATGCCGTAAAGTATATCTGCGGTAAGGTAGAGTTGAAGAATGAAGAGAGGATCACAGCCACAAGAAATAGACACAGGATCTCTACAGAGTTTGCCCTCATGGATGTGCCTGAAGCGGATCGAGGCTATATATATAAGCACCTCGGACACTCGGAGGATGTTAACCAAAATATCTACCAAGCACCTCTGGCAATTAAAGCTGTTACAGTTGTGGGAAGGAGGTTGGCAGCTCTGGACAGAGGAGGTAAGTTGCCCTTTATTTCACCTAAACTCTATTTCTGAAAGTGTCGTCATGGAGTGGATTTGACTCATCTTTTGATCAGAAGATTGTGTATTTGATTCTCACTCTATAATGCCAGTTTCATTCAGCAAGAAATGTATCCACACTGTGCTGTAGTGAGTCTGAATTAATTTTCTGCTAACTTTGTGAAAAGCACACTTTCAACAAGCTTTTTCGCCCAGATTAAGTGCAAAAAAAAAATAACTACGAGAGCCCATCATCTATGACCATCTGTGTACATGTATATGTCAAAGTGCTGCAAATAGAGGCCAAAGTCTGTGAATGTTGGAGATCAGAAAGAAGATTATTGTTGTTCAATATTTGAAATACATACTCATGTCAATTTCTTTTAGTGATGATATGAAGACTATAGAACCCCCAAAATGCACCATCCCATTTTTCATAATTTGTTGTAATTAATGAATGGGTATATTTTTTATCATAGAAT